TTGTGTGTGTGTGTGTGTGTGAGAGAGAGAGAGAGAGAGGACGCCTGGGATGGAGATGGTCAGCTGGGTTTGGTTTGAGTTATGGTTAGCATGTGTATGGTTAAAGTGGGCAGGAGAATCTATTTGGGTGGGATGAATTGTCAGCCATTAGATTTAATAAGAGCAGTTTAGGTGAAATATGCACCATATATTTAAACTTCAATTAAATTCTAACTGTTTTTTCTGATTTTCTAAATTAGGAGAGTTGATTTCAATTGAAAAAGTTTGAATTTGCCTCTATCTTATTAATATAGATATCTTAATTATTTATTAGTCATTCGATAAATTATATTCGCATATTAATATTTTTTTTGTGTTATGTTTTTAAAGTATATTCTGTCATTTTTTTTTTAATATTGATTGTGGTTGGCGTTAACTAAAAAAAAAAAAGGAAAAAATCAATTGCTACTTTAAATATTTGTATGTTATTGAAAATATTTGTATTACAAGATTAATACTTAATTTTGTATTGTAGAATGCCTTCATGTTTGAGTTTTGTCAAAAAAATTTTAAAAAAAGTAGTTGTCGCGATTGATGATATAGTGGCTCAATTTTTTAGAGTGCTCAATTTTTATGTTGCACTATGTCTTTAGACACGACCTATTACTAATATATCATATGCATGAAGGATGATTTTAAGTTACGTGCCAAAATTAAGATCCAATTCTATTTAAACCCCCCGATCTTTACCTCTCATTTCACATTGCCCAATAAACTATCCAGTTTCCCAAATGGCCTAATCATTGACTTTTGTCCACTTATTAGCGACAAATCAGAGCAAAAATTGAATTCTACCCATTTAAGGAGAGAGACCACACATCTCCTAGCATTTTAGGATCTCATTTTCCCTTATTTTGTTTGACAAAAGTCAACAATTGGGGTAATGTGAAATTCAAACCAATAGTCTATTGTATGGTGTGAGAAAGTGAATAGTTTTGGGGAGTAAGTGTAATTTGCCCTAAAATTCATCAGCCCCGTGCAAGCATGCAGCTCTACAACATAGTGTTTTGGGCAAACATTAATGAGGGTCAGTACCATGGACTCTTCATTATACTTCACTAAATAGCCGTCTCCACGATATGTAGATCAATTCCATGCAGAAAATCATAAGTATAATGATTGATAGCCTTTTTACCAAATGAAACAATGGAAAAATGATTGATAGCCTTTTTAACAAATGAAATAATGGAAAAACAATATCATCACACCATGTTTTATTTCTTGAAAGAAGACTGCTGTACATTGCTGAAACAAATTAAAAACTCACAGCAATACTCAGTCATCAAGTATTCATGAGGACTCTTGATGGAAGAGTAGATAATGAAACAATGTTACATGGGGTTAAAGTATCTGTACAAGTTGAAGAACATTAGGTGCTTCCAGGATTCGTATGTGCATTGAATATAACAAGGGAATGAGACCATGAAGCCTTTCGACTAGTCATGAACTCAAAATCAGAAGCACAGCCGCAGCACAACTCATGTAGGTCAATGAATAGGAGGACCCAAACCAACCTTGAAGTCCAGTATGCTGCAAAATGAAACATATAAACGGCAAATAATAAACATAACCTAGACAAAATAAGGATCTGAGTTGAACGACGATGAAAGATGTTATACCACAGCCTGATCATTTCTATATTTCATTATGGCTCTAACCCTAGTGGTCCATCAAACTATTGATTCTCCCCAATTTGATTTGCATGGAATAATAGTTCAAGAGGTCTCACAACTGATCTTCACAACCAAAAGCCAGAGCAAATTCTATTTTATCATTCATCCGCAGCAAAGAGCCCAAACAACAATTAGCTGTACCCAACGTTATTCCCTTGAATATCAGCATGAAACCAAGAAGGTTACCGTTTCAGGTCGCCAGATCAATATAACTTAAAATTATGCTTGCAAGAGCAAATCGAGACGCGAGTTTGATTACTTCATTCTCAATTCGTCTTCTTCATTTCAAATCTTTCTTTGAAATGTAATTCAGCTCAGTTTCTACCTTCCTCAAAAAGCAAGCACTAATTGCTTGTATTTTTAATTTGGAGATGGATTTTTCCTCACGAGGCAAGGACCAAACAGACCTCTACTTGATTGGAAGTCTTTACTCTCTCTCTCTCTCTCTCTCTCTCTGTGTCACACACACACACACACACACACACACACACACACACGCACGCACGCACGCAGAGGAAAAGAGGCATGCTTCTCCCAAACGCATATTAAATTTAAGCCAACAACAAACGAAAAAAAGTCTTAATATTTCACTTTTTTTGAAAAATCAAGCATGAAATCAAGGCACAAAAGCATGAAATCAAGGTATTTGAGCTTCAGTGAGGCATTCAGGAAATACATACCTTTACGGAGAAAAGAGATGAGGCTGCTGAGCTAGGTACAAGACCAGTAAACCCCATATTATAGGCAATGCTGCCATCAGCTTTAAATAATCCAAAGTTCCTCTCAGAGGTTGGCCCAGGCTTTAGGTTCTCATTGAACAAGGCAAAAACATATGCCTTCACCACAGTCTTTGGCCTGTAGGGTGTCCCCTTCTTTTTTGCAAGCCGCTTATACAAATTATAATTGTAATTCCTTGCATTTTTAACAGTGGCTCCTGCTTCGTTTTCATCTCCACGAGAAGCCCATCCAGTTTCCGAAACTATGACTTCTGTCTTGTCAAACCCAGCCTTCTCCAAAGCTGCATAAGCTGCATCAATTTGCGCCTCAAACATGTTATCGTAGTGCAGTTTAGTCTTTGCATCATAAATTCCAGGATTTGAAAGGAAAAGAGCGTAGTTAAGATCAATGTGCCCAGGGTCACTCTTATAAGCCAGAAATGGGTAAGAATTTATATAGAAAGGGGAATCAATTTGAGAGAAGAACTGGAGAAGTGGTTTCATGTATGGAAGAACACTCTCCTTAAAAGCTCCTGCCGATGGAGGGAAGGAAGAAGCAAATACAGCGGCTGAATGTGGGCTCAAAACCTGTACTACATTAGTCAGATGCAGCAGATCAAGGGCATTGTAAACATTCTTTACTGCTGGTAGCAAGACCTCCCCAAGTTCCTGATCATCGCTCCCCAAAACCTCGTTTCCTACAGCGATTCCGCGGATGTGAGTACCAGGGAGGAATGGCTGCACATTTTCTTTCACCCAATTAATGGCACGATCCTGACTAACACTAAAGTCCCTCAAATTCTCATTCCCGAGTCCAACTACTATCTCAATACCAGACCCTTTAAATGCCTCGAGAACTTCATGAGCAGCATCATAGATTCTGATGTTTTTTATCTTCGCTGCCTTTAGAAGGGTTACTACGCTCTCAGGTGAGGGGAGATTGTCAGCAATCCTGCCATAATTTACTCCATAGGTCCCCGTGAAAGCACACACTCTTAAAACTGCCAAAGAGAAAACAAATGACTAAATTAGTCAATAATCACCGGGATAACAAATCAAGCCAATCCTATTTGTCCATGGATTTAGATTTTTCCTCCTGAAGGAAATTCTAAATGCTTGTGAATTAGATTTTCAATTTCAATGGGAAGATATGAAATTAATTAACCCCACAAACCACAAATGCACCTAAATTGATTCTAATTGACATAATTTGCCTAAAACTTGATATTTGTGCAGATGAAGATTCAAGTATGTCTATCCAGTTAATCAACATGTGTTCCATTGCAAATATCTGAATTGTCATTTGGGTATCTATGAACTACATTTGTATGAAGAGATTATTCCCGTCACAAAACTTAATCTGAATCACACACAAATTACAAGGTTTATATATGTCCGCATGCAAAAGAGCGTGCTCGAAATGTATCAAACAAATTCCATTTCAATGATAATGTCAAAAAATCCAATGAACTCAGTTTCTTTATGTTCATCAACAGTCTCGTGAAGATGGTACACTGCATATGCCCAAATGAAACCATCATAACAAGATGAGAAAGCGGCTCCTATTGACATTGAAAGCTACTTTTAAAATAAATAAAGCTTAATCCTTAATCTAACTCTTCAAAATTTTCGTATGACAAATTTCAAAAGTTCATCTTTATGGCCTAATTGACAACAAAACTTCGAGATAGAAACACCATTATGCTAATTACTATTCTAAAGTCAACACAAAAACAGAACAAGAGGGAAAGAAGGCACATACCATTTGGAAAGGCAACACAGGAAAGAAGAATGAACCAGAGGAAGAAAGAAGAGAGACCCATTGTTCTGAAAGTGGAATTAAACGGAAAGGAACATCCCATTTGTAGAAATGAAACGTGTATACTGCACCAATTTGTAATAATACCTCAAAGACGGTAGCGTCGACGGCGAAGACATCAACAGTGCGCTTTGCGATGCAATGCTTCCTCTGTAGGTATGCCATACTCTAATGGAAAGATTCCAAACTTTAGTTCAAGGATGAATGACAATGGTTTTGAAAGGGTGAGGTTTAGTTTTGTGGGCTTCGAATAGATTCCAACTTTTCAGCTACGTTTCTATTCTGATTTCTCCATCTCAAAGTCTGCCTTTTCTTCTTTCCATTCTTGGATTAAACTATCTGTGAGCAATTTCTCTTTGCTGTATGGCTTTGTTTAAAGTCTTGTACCTTTCGTAAATGGGTATGGTGCAGTTTGGAATGTGGTGGAAGGAGACGGTTGTATCATTATAATTCACGTGATCTTCGTGTTAATACCCATGAGAAAAATTTTATTTAATGAGTTATAAATGTTAAATATTAATTCAGTTCATTTATTATGTGTATTTATTAATTGTGTTAATTCACACTATTGATGGAGGAAAGAGTAAATTGTATTATAAGTTCTCAAAGTTTGTGATTTGTCTCATTTTAGTCTTTAATATTTCAATTGCATCATTTTAGTTCTTAAAGTATTGAATATATTTCTATATGGTCCTTTAAGCAAATAATGTCCAAATTGATAATAATTTTTTATTATAAACTTATCACGTAATAACTAAATATAGATAAAAAATAATTTTGATAGCTCTTAAACAAAATTTGGGTAGCTTTTAATAAAAAAATTTATAATATGGGTAACTTTTGACTAAAATTTGGATAGCTCGTAATTAAAACTGTGTAATTTATGTAAGTATTTAACCAAAATTTGAGTAGAAATTTGATTAAAAGTTATCCAAATTATTTTTTTATCCATACTTAAGTATTATGTGACAATTTTATGATAAAAAATCGTTAGTAATCTGGACACTGTCTGTATGAGGGACCATATAGAAACATATTCAATACTTTAGGGACCAAAATGAGATAAAATTCATACTTTTGAGACTTTTAGTGCAATTAACCCTAAAGAAAAATGCTAACAATCCAAAAAGTACAATCCAAATTCATATCATCTCTCAGATAAATGTTAGATGAGGGAGTTTCATTGAAAAATTTTATAAAACTCACTCATCTAAAATATAATATACATTTGGATTGTAATTTTTTAAGTTTTATTTGGATTGTATAACATTACTATATTTTAACATGAAAAAATTTTTGTTAACTATTTTACCCTTGTACAAAATTGCAAATAACACTATCTTTCTAGGGTTAATTTTAAGGGATAAACAAAATTGGGTTTAATTTTTAAAAAGTACACATCTTTTAATATTAAGTAATTAAGTCTTTTTTTTTTTTTAGAATTTAATTGTGTCTAAGTATATAATTTTATTTTTTCTGATTTTTCTCTGACATATTTGTACTCCCTTAAATCATGCATTTTTTTAGGCAATTAAGTTGAGTTTTGATTTTATTTTATTGTATTAAAGATTTTCTAATATTTATGGCAGATCTATAATATCCATTTATTGTATGTATCTCAGCCATTTTTTAATTTTAAATTTTTTCACATTGTCGTTGGTTCTCTTCTTTTTCTTCTTCAAAACACAAGCTATTATCATTTGGGAAAATTCAAAGATAACATCATGCTTATTCTCCAAAGCCATTATTAGGTTTGAATTTATGCCTTCATTAAGTTTTTTTTAAAAATTTTTCATTCATAGTATTGATAATTATTCTGTTTTTTTTTTTTTTTTAATAATTCTTTAGTTGATCTAAGAGCACTACAATGGGTGGTATCTTTTTGTATCTTTCATTTTTTTTTTTTCATAGTTCTTTTGTTTTCATTGGTTACCCACCCATACACAAACATGACCTCAGGGATTTTTTTTCCCAATTTTCTTTTTCGATCTAGGAACACTGGATGATGTTACAAGTTTGTGTCATAGTTTTTTTTTTTAGTTTGACGTTGTTTCTGTTCATAAGTTTCCTGTTTGTCGATGGCCACACTATTGTGTTACACTGTGTGTTCCACACAAAGGTACATGAAACATTTTCCATTAGATCTATCCCATATGTTTTTAATTGGAAATTGTTTCACATGATTCATTCATAAATAACAATATGAGACACTGAGTTGTTACACTAAAAGAAACTTACTGTATGAATCTATGTGCATAGTTGTTACACTGATTATATTTAACACAATCTTTGCTACACTATTAACAGTCATAAGATATACTTAAAATTAACATGAATTCCATTTTGAAAATGATTTCACTTGATTCTTTCATAAACATAAAGATGTAACACTTTACAGTTACACTTTTGAACACATTTAACAAATCTGGCACATTGACTTGATACACTATTTGTCGTCAAGCTATATTGTTAACATTATAAAATCCTGAACAATTTAGACAATTTTCTAAACATTCACCAGATACCAAAACATCTAATATAGAAATTCAAAATCGATAATTTATTGTTCAATAATGTTCAACTTAAAAATTAAAAATACATATGGAATTATATATATATATATATATATATATAAAAAGAGAGAGAGAGAATGAGAGATGGGAGGATGTGTGTTTAAAATGTCCGTTAGGGAGAGAAGAAGAGTTATATACGTATGAGAGTTGAGTGTATGAGATAGAGAAAGAAAGAAAGTTATATTAGAAATGTGAGTCTAAGAGTTTTAAAAGGACTAAAAGTCTAATTAGAATTATCGAATTAATAATCATCGACCGATCTGAGCTACGAAAAGCTCAAGATAAAAAAATCTAACTACTTTATTATATAGATATAAGAGTTCTAATAAAACAAAAACATAAAATATAGGAAAATCAAAATCCATATGAAATCTTATTCATTTTTTTTAGGGATATGTTTCAAAAATTTTGGAAACTTCTAAAATTTGATAACTAAAATTAAGGAATTTTAATTATCTTATCTTAGAAAGCACTAAAATTAAAGAATTTTGATTTTACATTAGATTTAATTTGATGATGTATATATGTGTTAATATATATATATATATATATATAGTAATGTATTTAACATTTAACTTTGAATTTTCAATCTTACTAATGAGATCTATGAGGACATGTTCTTCCTTAGTTTGCTTAGTTAAAACTCCAACTATTTTACAACAGTTATCTTTACAACCTACCTTAATGTCAGGTTTACTAGAATTGCTATAAATTGACTAATATTTTGAAGAATCTTCATTATTACTTGAATCATTTGAACTTTCCTCATTTTAGCAAGAGATCTTCTTCCAGTAAATTATTTGTGTTTCAGTTATTGTAATTTATAATATTTCTAGTTATACTTGTAACGCCCCAAAAACCCCCGTGGGTGACATTACATTCTAAAAACCATTTACCGTATGAGAGCATTAAGTAAAATTCATCACGACGAAAGTTTCATTCATCAACCATTCATATTTTAACAAAATTTGGGCAGAGTCTCCTTTGTATGGGGAGCTCTACCCAAAACACAACCTGTACAATTATATTACAATTGACCACACCGGGTCCACATATGCATAACTATTGACCACACCGGGACTATTTTTCCATCATAAAATAAACTTGCATTCATCATATGTCATATCCACACTATCATCCCAAATTAATAGGTCTAATCTTGGCCTTTACATCTCCAAAATGTAATAATATAACGCAGCGGAAATAACAGAAATGAACTAGAGTTCAAAAGGATATTCTAAGCATAATCTAGTCTAGAACAAAATAAAAGTGTCGCTCTAAGCGTCCACCTCGGGATCCACATCCCCGTCAAGCGGAGTCTTCCAATGGGTGGGCTCCTCGGCTCCTAACTCCTCCTCAAGTGTGAAATCTGAAAAAATTTTATTTGTAGGGGGTGAGCACGAAGCTCTGTAGCAAAATCCTCTCAACTCAAACAAGGTTTGAAAAACATAGCAAACGGTCGGTCTCATTTCACAACTAACATATATATAGGTTTGGAATGAAAACAGTGACATTTTAAAAGAGATCTCAAGTTTAAACAATAGCAATAATCAGTTAAAAGAATAAAGTGAGTTTAGCATCGATAAACAAAATTCTAATTTAAGCTATTTAAGAAGGGCTTCTCCCTAAGCATTGTCCCATACCAATGCATCGGCAAGAACGACCCAACTCCCGATTCCATGTATTTTTGGTTCATCCCCGTACCATGTATGTTGATTGCTTCTCGTGAATCTACCTAACGATCATGCCTAGTCCACCAATTCCAACCAACAATCACAAATCTCTTTAGGAAGGGCGTGTACCGTCTCCTACGGCATTGACGAAATCCTCCCAAGGTGTCTAGTATACTAACCCTTTTCCTCGGTGTATATGTGAACAATAGTGATCGCGAGCACAACAACGATCCACTACGAGCATTAGGCAACCATCTCACCCCCCATTGGGATAGACTAACCTCTAACACTCTACGGCATCTCTCGAAGGTAATCCAAGTCCATCACAACAACCATACAATGAGGAAATCAAGAATATTCACAATTCACAACAATTTCCCAAATATAGTAAAATCCCCAATTTTGTTTTCACATTTGTCATATAATCGAATAATCCAAGAAAATATGCAAGAGATCGTAATCTATATCATTTTGTTATACAATATTCAACACTAAAGTTTTAAAATCAAAGACAAAGAAGAAATTAGGAGAAAATCCCCTTTTCTTGAAAACTAGGGCTTTGAAGATAAAAAAAAAATTAATAGAGCTTTGGTGGTTACCCACCCTTCATATTGTTCAAAACATGACATTTATTACAAATAGAACAAGAATCATGTATTTCATATTATATATATGAGAAGGAGAGTGAAGAAACATATATCTATATACATATATATATCTATATATATATATCTAGCCTCAATGTGAGAGATTGAGAGAAAATCCCCTACCTTAAATCAAGATTCCAAGCTAAGACCCAAGCTTCAAGACCTTCTTGCTCTCCTTTCTTTTCCTCTTAATCTTCTCCTCCTAGGGTTTCAAAAGATTTGGGTGAGAGGGTAGCAAGAATGGAAGAAAATGGGAGGAGAATGTATTCTTG